AACCCACTAAAGAAACAAAATAAAATAACCAAGCAGTCCACTGAATCGATTGGGCTAAAATTGAAAATTCAGCCCAGCCTGATTGACTAAATCTAGACCAATGCATGATCTAATAGAGCCCAAGCCTTTCTAATTGTAGTTTAACTTCATGAAATCAACTGGGAGATTCTATTTGCATCCAAAAAAATCATTCTTAATTTCTTAATATTTTTTATTAAATTATTTATGATTATAATTTATTCTCAATATATTCTATATTTTTTTTATAAATTACCTCTCAAACATATATCTAAATAATAAATAATTCAAAAACCCTAAATCATCAATTCTCAAGCATCTCTATAATAACTTATAGCTTATTACTTGTTAGAGCTCTTGAAGTGAATGAAGACACGAAAGGGTAATGCTAGGGACATCAAATTTTTTATCAAATAAATAACCAAATGTCTCACATGGGTGTGGGGTCCGCAATTTTGTGGGCCCCACACCCATGTAAGACATTTGGTCATTTATTTAGTAGAAAATTTGAGACCTCTAGCATTTTCCAGACACGAAATGGTCAACCACAGCAATGGTGGGAGATATTAAGCTTTTGGTTAATGACTTTAATTATGCATTTATTTCTAACGTTTCTTAGGATGTAATTAAACCCACCCATGAACGGGCTAGAATTGTAAATAGTTTTAATAGTTAATATATTTCATCTTTTTCTCAAAAAAAATAAAAATAAAAATAAGTTCCACAATAGCAAGCAACAATCAATATGGTGATGATTTTCTGTAATGATCTAAAACTTCAAATGGAGAGAGACGAGAACTGGATTGCTTATTATTCCAGTAATGATCAAAAAAATATTTTTTGTTATTATTTTTATTCAAAGTTTTTTATTATTATTTACAAGTATCAATACAATATGAACAATGTTTTTTTTTTTTGTTTTTGACTGGAAATTCCCATGGCCGGGCCTATTTATGACCCGATCCTAAGCAAGATGTCGAGGAACCCACCCCTCTTCCCTTAATTTTAGTCAAAGACTATAAGAAGGTTGGTATAGGTTTTGAACCCGGGACTTTTGGTCACGCAGGCCATTGCCTTATCAACTCATCCAATCCTTGGGGTTAATATGAAAAATATTGTTATTGATAATAGTGAGTTTTTGTGGGATGGATTGAAGTTTTGGAATAAGAAGGAAGATAGAGAGAAAATAATTGAAATTTAGAAAAGAAGATGAAGAGACTTGAATATGAATAATAGGTATGAGTGACTAGGGTGTACCATAAGGGGAAAAAAAAAATTTAGAAATTAATGTGTGTTATCCTTATTAAAATTTTACATTAGGTATAATAGGAATTGAAATTTTAAAACATTTAATTAGATGTACTATTTCAGTACAAATAGAATAACCCAATCAAATTATACAAATTCAATTGTAACGTGGGCTAGGCTTTTATAAAAATGATTGAAGCCCAACCAAATTCGACCCACAAAATATACATATGCAATCTATACATACATACATACATACATATACATACATACATATACATATACATACATACATACATACTATATATTAAAGCAAATGTAGTAAGTCTTCAAAAACTTTCTAAAGTTTTAATTCTACCTTTTCATTCAAAGTTAGCTTTCTCTTTCCTACATGGCAAGCTCTCCAGCCTCATTTGCCCTTTTTCTAATTTCTAATTATTTATTACATAAATAAATAAATAAAATTATGGAAGATAAATAAAAATATTTTTTAATCCAATCTATTTCAGTATTACAATCAAATAAATAAAACTATGATAATATTGATTTTTAATAATATCCTTTAAAAATCAAATAATTGATTAACTATTAAAATAAAAACAAACAAACAAACAAATATTATCTTAAAGGGTTGAATATTCAAATTTTAAATGATAAAATTTATTCTAGATAAAACAAAATCAGATAATTATCATTTTAATATATCAGATAAGTATTAGCTTCTTTATATATATATATATATAATGTATCATCTTAATTTATATCTTTCCACCACTACAAAAAAATTAAGGTTTTAGAGACCAAAATTTAAGGACAAAATTATTTTTTAATGACCAAATAATTTTGTTGCGAAAAGTATCGTCATTATATTTTTAGCAACAAAAATTGGACATTGGTGATGAATTATTATCCTTTTGCGACCAAATTTTTTGTCTAAAAAAATAAACCATTTTGAGACCAAATTATTTTGTCCCTAAAAGTCTATTTATTAGTGACATTTTTAAAATTTTGTCTCTAAATGTCTTATTTTTTACTTTTTGAGACGACCTTTTAACGACTATCCTCATGACGATGGAAATTAGTCCTTAAATGTCTTTTGCAACAAAATTTTCACTTTCAGAGACCAAAATATTTGGTTTCTAAAACTCTTATATGTTGCACCCGAACTTTCCAGAGATATATCAACTCAAGAAAAAATAAAAATTGTAAAATTTTCAAACTTTGGTGTATCTCTCAACCAAAACTTTCTTCTTCACCTAAACTTAAAACTTATATCAGGTATACAATTAATTTATAACTCTATCACATGTTTTCATTTATTGGAGTTAATATATTTACATTGATGCTTAATAAAATTCCATTAGAATATATGATATGTTTATTAATTTAGAGTAATTTAATTTAATGTATTTACAGTGATGCTCAATCAAACGCTATTAGAGTATATGATTTGCTCAATAAAACTTTGTTAGAGTGTATGATTTGTTTATAGGTGTAGAGTAATTTAATATTTTTACAGTGATATTATTTTCACATTTTATTTTTATTTTGTTAGTTCATTGAAGGTACACTCAAAGAAAGAAATGTTATTCACATACTTTTAAGGAAAAATTGTATTCATACAAAAGAGTATTACAAGTATGTAAAATTAATTTGGAACTTAGTTTAGGGTTAAAATTTGGAATAGCATTAATAATGAGTTTTGCAAAAATTGATATCTATATATTAGTACTTAGAATTTGATCTAGAGTTAGTTCTTCACGTTACAATTTGAATCACATATATATATATATATATATATATTAAATAAAACTATGAATACTTTTTTGAACATTGAAAATTAGCCCACCAAATATGTAATTAAGGCCTCCTGTGCTTAAGATTTTTAAAGTAGTTTTTTTAGTTTTTTTTTCTAAAAAAAAAAAATCCCCATTTTGTCATTTTTCAAATATCAAAATGCAAAAAAAAAAATAAATAAATAAAATAATTATTTCATAAAACAAGCTAAAAAGTGAGAATTTTAAAAATTATCACAGTTTAGTCCCACCCAAAAAGAAAATCTTATTCTTTTTACTCCCTAACTTTAATTCATCATGTTGAAATTTTTTCAAAATCTATCTATAAAAAAGAAAAAGAAAAATGGTTACTCTAAGTTACACAAAATCAAAATTAAAAATAAAAATTTTATTCAGTTTCTTTCTTTTTTAAAAAAAATCATTAAAAATGAAAAATAGTAAAAGAAAAAAAAAAGTCTTCCTAAATGAGAGTTAAAAATAAATAAATAACGGGTTAGGAAAACTAACAAAATTACTAAACAATATGACTTATTTCACTATTAAAAAAAAAATGCAATATGCGATAACTTTAAAAAAAGAAAAATAAAATAAAATAAAATAAAAATGACTTATTTCACTATTAAAAAAAAAATGCAATATGCGATAACTTTAAAAAAAGAAAAATAAAATAAAATAAAATAAGATTATCCAATCCTTTTAATATCCTATCCTTTTATTATATAGTATTGTAAATAATTTTTTATTTATTTATTTTTTTTTATTTTTGTAACGCCCCAACTTCTAGGCCGTTAAATATGTACAATAATACAACACAAGTAGGATAGATAACCAAAACATCTTAATATACATATATAACCAGAGTTAATATCACAGATAATTCATTTATGTTCCACTACAAAATTACCAAAACATTGCCAAACCAAAAGTCAAAAGGAAAAAAAACTACTAGTCTAAGTCTTCATATGAACCACAGCTCCAATACTTCATTTTATTTGCGTTCGAAATAACCTTCACCATTGTAAACTGCTTTATCACATGGCATGACACGTCATGAGCTTGGAATGCCCAGTAAAAACACACACACCCCTATTTCTTCTATCAACCATACACAGAACAAATTGGGTAACATAACCTACAATATTATAACAATATTCTATGAATTAGTAGTTAAACTAGACATCTAGAATCCCCCAAAGTAATCCTTCTATCCAACCACAAGGATTGAACACCAGGCTATTCAGAACTCCCCCTTTTGCTGCTTTGCAGACCTTGCCACCTATGTCCACCTCCCGATTGTTTACTGGTCAGTGGCATTGATGGACCTCAAAAGGAACAGCCAAACAAGTGGGCTTGCTTACACCCAAATTGTTCCTAAGGCTCACTTATACCCTGCACATACCATACCAAATCGTGCTTAGGGCTCGCTTACACCCTATACATACCATACCAAAGCGCTCGCTTACACCTTGAATCCACCGCATAGAGTCTGAATACATCATTGTCAACCTAGGGGCTCTCTTAGACCGCTTGTACAAGACTTAGTTCATTTGGTATTAATCCCATCATAATTCATGTCATTCATATGTATATTACATAAATCATTCTGAAACACAAGGGTGAACGTCACCCATTACCATCCTCTTTTCATTTTCCGTTTATTAGATCTTTTACTAAGCAAATTAGTCACATTTAGCAATTTGGTAATATAAAAGAGCATGAGACAAACATATAAGAGGAAATATAACCCTTGATAAGCATACATAAGTATGGTAAAGCAAGCAAACAACATTAGGAATTTTTGGAGACACTTAGAGACAAATAACACAATAAAACATAATTTTAACCACTATTCAGTTCTGCAGGGCTAACAATAATGCTTTGGTAAAAATACTTCCAGGTCAAATTAGGGGCTGAAATTGCACAGAAACAATAATCAACCTGTCTAGTTTCAGTTCCAATTCTCAGAATTTGCACAGCACCTCCAGAAATTCATCTACAAGCTATATTTGAAAACCTGTCTAGATTTGTCACCCTTTGAGAAAACTAGCTTTCCTCTCCATCTACCTGGTAATTTTCACCCAAATAAATTCCATTGGAAAGAGGACTTAGAGTTCTAAATTTTGATAGAAGAACCAACATGAGATGATATTTCTGAAATTTTATAAAATTGCAAGAAGTGGACTGTTTTTCAGAGACTCGATACCAGATTTTTAAACAAAATATCCAAGCCCTAAAAACACATAATTAGGGGCTAATAAAATTATCACAAGCTCTAAACACACCAAATAGCCTACACTAAATTCAGATTTGAGACATAAATAAATTTGATATTTCTTTTAAATTAGAGAAGTTACAGTAGTGCCTAATTTGACAAATTTACAAGACAATGTCACTAACTCATACCCACACTTTCATACACACCAAAAACCCTATTTAATATTAATATGCAACACAAGAGGGCATCTAAACAATAGAACGAAATGGGTGAAAGAATTGGAAAAGAGAAGGGAGATGTATTCTTACCTTCTTGAGTCATCTTTTCTTCATTTTCTTTTTTCTTTTTTTCCTTCTTCTCTACTTTCCCTAATCACACTCTCCCTCTCTCACCATCTCCTTGGGTTGCTGAAACGTGAGAGTGGAAATTGAGACAATGACCTCAATTTATAGACCATAAATTTGGGTTAAAAAGACCATTCTACCCTTCTAGCTTAATGACTAAGAAAACTTATAAATATCTAGATATTTTTCCACTAATTTGCTACTAATTTGCTCAAGTAAATATTAAAATAAATAATAAAACTATTTATTTAAAGATATTTATGGCTATTTATTTGCTCAAATAAATAATAAAGATTCAAAGAATTAGTAAAAATGCAACTAGGCTAAAAAATAAATAAATAAATAAAATGTATGAATTAATTTAGAAACTAGGAGGTAAAATAAATAAAATCCAAGTGTTAGGGTATTTCTAATTATAAAGTGGTGTTCTAGGATTTAAAATTATTCTTTATTGGGCCATTATGCAAACTTTTATGGAACTGGGGGGTTAAAAAGCTATTAACCTAAGGTGTAGGGTTTCAAGTTTAGTTACCAAACATTAGGGTCTCTACAATTTTTATTATAACAAAGACTATTTTTAGAGTTTTAAGATAACAGACTATAAAAAAAAAATTAAAAAAATCTATTGTTTATGCCGTTCAATCCTAAATATTTGTAACTTAAAATTTTCATAATAGAAATCCTTACAAATAATTTAAAAAGAAATGTCTTACACAATTATTTTGTTATTTATAAAGTTCTTAGATTCTATTAATTTTAAAATTTCCTTTAATTGTAAAATTTCCTTTAATTGAGCTCTCTTTTAAATAATATTTTTAATTTTTAAATAGCATGAACACATTTCATAAAATTATTTGTACTTTTTACTTTATTTTGAGTAAATTGCACATATTATTTATACATTTTAAAGGAAAAAATATTGAATGTCTGGGTTAGGAGAGAGAAAACTAATAAATCAAATTATTTATTATTATATTTTCAATATATATATATATATATGATTAACGACTAAATTTGTTTGGGTGGGGAGAGGAAGTAATTAATATACAACCCATAAATTTATATTTAATTTTTTACTTATGAGCACTAAAATGAAAAAAATATTGAATGTAAATAATATGTATCTTATTAAAAAAATAATATATTGTTTTATTTCATGCATAACACGAGTTATTTGCTAGTATATTCATATGTATATGTACTAGTGTTCCACCCATATATGTATGGATTGTGTTTGTAAATGTTTATATATATGTAAATTGTGATTTTTAAATGTCTTCTTCTTTTTTTTTCTTTTTTTTTTTTTGCATATAGAAAAAAGAATATAACAAATGCAGTATACCTTTAATCAATTATTTTATGTTTGCTTTTGTTCAAAATTTAAAAATAATATACGGACAAAATTTATAACTAAATTAAGAAAAATTTATTCCTAACGATAATTTTTTTTACTTCTATATAAATACTTAAAAAATAAAGCTAAAAAGGATAGTCAATATAAATATTATACATTAAGTTAAAAATGTGGTTAGCAATTATGTTTACATAAATTTACTATAGTTTTAATTTCAAAATTAAAAAAATATATATTTTAAAAGCATTTTATTTAGCTAATACCAAATAGAATTTTTTTTTAGCAAAAAGGAAAGTTATAAAATTTGTTGCAAATTTCAAATGTCTATTATTAAATATTCTATTCTACTTGCTTGTTTGCTTGCTTTGGGAGTTTTGATATTTGATATTTGCTCCACATTCATCTTATTGTTTTATTTATTTTTCTGCTTCTTGTTTGATTTTCGCATGATTCTTCTTTCATAGTGCATCTTCGAGTGTATTTGTGAAAATATCATACACTTAAAATGCACAAAATTACAATATATAGAAAAAAAAAAGTAATTAATTACCCAAAACTAAAACTACTTTAAGAAAAAATAAAAAAAAATGAAATTGTTTGAAATAAAAAATGATTTATTTATTTATTAATTAATTTTTTTTAAATAAACTTTTAAAGAAAACAAAGAAAAGTATATAATAAAAAAAATATAGAAACTAAACATAAAATATAATACAATAAATAAATAAATTATTGGATTTTTAAGAAGTGAGACTCACAAACAAATTTTGTAAAATCTTCTCTATTCAAATACTTTTTGTGTATGTTTTTATGTACTTCTAATCCTGAGAATAATATTGAAATAATTTGCACTTCTTGCATTAAGTTCATCTAATAACTTTAGTAAACACGGATATAATAAATTTCATAACACAAAATATAAACAATTGTGAGACGAAGTATCTAAAAAAATGAATGCAACGTTCAATGATGATATAAAAGCACACCTGTCGTTTTAATTAGAGGTATAACTAGATAAATAATCATAGAAGAGGAAGACAACATTTATCTTTCATCACAACAATTACATAACTCAATATATAATTTTGATGTCTCTCATCCTTCCACACATTCAATTCTCTATCAATATTAGAATGAATGCATGAACCAAAAAAAAGAAATATTTGAGAAGACAAAGAGATACGGTCTGAGACCTTTCAATTGTTGAATTCTATTAATTAATAATTATTAGGCTTCAATGGTCAAATTTCTAAAATTTGTTAGCCATTAAAGTAGAGTTCTTTGGTTTCATCTATATTTACTTAATAATTTGAGAGCGGACAGGTATCAAGCCTTTACACAAATATTTGACACATTTTTTTAGCATTATTAATGAAATGCAGAGTGTAATTTTTTTTTTCTTTTTTTTTTTCGCAATTGAAACCTGTTATTTTTTAATAAGAATATATATTTGTTTTAGATATTTTTTAATATACAAATTATTTTTTTTTTTCGCAATTGAAACCTGTTATTTTTTAATAAGAATATATATTTGTTTTAGATATTTTTTAATATACAAATTATTTTTTAGAGTGTACTTTTTTTTCCTCTTTTTTTTTCCCGCAATTGAAACCTGTTATTTTTTTAATTAGAATTTATATTTGTTTTAGATATCTTCTTAATATAGAAATTATTTTTTTTTTAGACTTTAATGAAATGCATAGTGTAATTATTTATTTATTTATTGTAATTGCAATATGTTATTTTTTAATAAGAATTTATATTTGTTTTAGATACAAATTATTTTTTTAGATTTTTTTTATAAAAATAATTTAACAATCTCATTACTAACCATAGTGCATGGAAGAAGTTGAAAAGGATGTTGTAGTAAGTATGAGAGAAGTAAAAAAGGCTTGAAAAATTTAGCCAAAACCCTTCCATTGGACCCTTATTTGGTGAAAAGGACAACCTAATTTATTTTATTTGATAAATCCTTTAAGGAGAGAATGCATAATTGAGTAAGGACAAAGTAAAATAATTTTTTTTCTTGAACAATATTGTCAGAGTAACATATTACTGTGAATTAGAGTAACATGTTACTGTGAGACATAATAACACGTTACTGTCAAACAAAATAACTGTCAAACAAAGTAACATGCAGTGGCGGAGCCAAGAAAATAAATCAAAGGGGGCACTTTTTAATTGTAATATTGAAAATATTTACAAAAATATTTCACATAAATTTTTACGATTGACTTCGAGAAAGATAAAAAAATAAAATAATAATCAGTGTGTTTGGTTTGAATTTTTTGAATTATGTTTTTTGAAAATTAAGTTTTTTATTTTTTATTATATTTTACTTTATTTGTTTTTAGTGAATATTTTTAAAATTTTAAA